TGCTGGGATTAAAGGCACCACCACTGCCTGGCTCCTCACATATTTTTATGAAATGAAAGTACTTTATGTTTGGTGGCTTCAGATGTTGGGAAGAATATCTTCTTCAACAGGGTTAAGGTAAAGAATGTGGTTTCATATATTCATATCTGTAAATGCTTGTTTACTATTTTGAGGAAGATCTTTCTAAGTAGTGCTAGCCATCCTGGGAAGTGTTATGTAGATAAGGATAGCTTTGAAGTCACAGGGATCCTCCTGCCTCTTCTTCCTGAGTCTTAGAATTATAGGAAGACCTTATGCCAAGGTAACCAAAATGTTTTGTACAAAAATGAGACCTATACCATAAGAGGGATCCTGTAGGGCCAGACCCAGAGGCAAGAGAGTCCAGAAACCTAGAATAGAACCTGACATGAATAGCAAAAAATATTCAAGCAAATGATTTTTTTTAAGAAAATGATTCTTAATAACATTCTGCTATATTTATAAATCATTGCCTACTTAGCCCAGTTATCATCAGAGGCTTTGGGTATCAACTGATGGAAACAGATGAAGACACTCACATCCAAACATTGAGCAGGCCTCAGAGAATCTGTCATAAGATGGGGAGGAAGGATTGGGAAGAGAAGAGGGGCTGAGGATATACATGAAAACCCACAGAATCAACTCAGCTCAGCTCATAGGAGCTCACAGAGACTGAACTGCCAACCAGAGAGCTTGTATGGGACTGACCTAGGCACTCTGCACATCTGTTACAGTTGTGTAGCTTGGTCTTCTTGTGGACTCCTAATAGGGGGAGCAGGGGCTGTCTCTGTTATCTGCTTTTGGGATCTCAATTCTTGTTGGGCTGCCTCTTGCAGTCTTAATAGGAGAGGAGGTGACTATTCCTACTGCAACTTGATATGGCATGACTGGCTGGTAGGCATGAGAGGCCTGTCCTTTTCAGAAGAGAAGAGGAAGATTGGATATTGGGAAGAAGAGAGGTTTGGGGAGCAACTGGGAGAAGAGACAGGGAAAGGGGTGAGAAATGTGATCAGGCTTGAATACATTAATTTATTAAAAATGTAAAATAATAATAAAAATCAAAAATATGTATTGTACTATCTTTATTTTACTAGAATATAGGAGGTAATTTTTGTGTGCACCAAGATGGAAAGGCATCTCAAGAAAAGAGATTTCTACAACTTCTCAATTGGCATCCACATGTGGCTCTTCATCCCTCACATGATATAATGGAATTGAAATGTTTAAAAACATCTTCTTTGTGTATGTCACTGAGGTTTAGAGTGGTGCTGTGGGAACCAGGAAGAGGCTGAAGGTCCATCTCCACCCATAGCACACATATGGCCTCCTCTCCTCTGGCCATGCCTTCCTCACAAAATTGAATCATTTCCTGTTTTCTCTTGTTCTTTCTATTCTCTCCTCAGGACTGGAGATTGAAATGGGGTCCTGTTCATAGTAAAACAGAAAGAGGCTTCCCATTTTGACAAATCTGTAGTCTCTACCCCCTGTTATCTCAAATGAGAAGTTCTGGCCACATATTCCTGGTTGACAATCAAAGTCATTCTGTAGCCCAGGCTGTTCTTGAAATTTCAAGTCTCCTGTTGCATATAAAAGTAGTTGGGAATACAAGACTGTGTCCACAGTTCAGTTCCCTATATAGCCTTTGGTAACATTAAGTGTATGATTATTCTTTCCATTTGAAAACTGAGAGATCCATGAAAAGATTCTGTTTGTTTTTAGATTTTTTTTCTCTAGAGACATGGTTATCTATTAATGGATTTTTCAGAACCTCAATGTGGTGATATTTTATTTGTACTGAAATGTTATTTTAATTTTATGTTAATAAATAAAATTACCCCGGGGCCAGAGCTATTAGAGCCATAGTGAGAGCGTGGTGGTTAGAAGAGCTAGGTAGATTTCTGTGTGTTCAGGGATACAGCCAGTATTGGAGACATACGCCTTTAAG